CCCTGATGCTTTGCTAAGCTTGTTCTAAGTAGGTGCTTTAGACCACTGAGCCATCTCTCCAGCCCAGCAGTTTTTTCACAGTTGTTTTCCTTTCTTTTTGGACTTGAGCAATCCTGGTAGACTTGTTTCTTTGCTTCAGTTGCTGTCACTTCAGAAATGTAAAGTATGTGATTTCCAAGTTCTTGTATGTCTTTGTTTCCTGGATTGATTTGGGTGGGCTAGAGGAATAAGATTGCCTTTTGCTCCTGTGTTTTGGCAGTTTTAAAGCTCCCAGTAATCACTGGACAGAGTATCGCAGGATGCCCAGAGTCTGCAAAGTTCTTAAGTGGGTCCAGGAAAGCTCCAAGCTTTCTTGTACTGGGCCCACAGACTGCATGTCTCCTGTGTCCTGCCTATGTTTGTTCTTGATTCAGTTGGTGTAATTTATATGTTTATAGGAATTTGTTCATTTCATTTAGGTTATCTGTTTTGTTAGTGTACTATTTTTTACAGTATTTTTCTGCAGTCCTTTATAGTCCCCTTAAGTTCTGTGGTAGTGCACCCACTTTAGTTTCTCATTTTAGTTATTTTGAAGTTTATAGTTGGCTCTCTATAGCCATGGGTTTCATGCCATTGATTCAGTCAAATGTGGTTCAAATACTTAAAATTTGTGTCTGTACTTAACTAGTAATAAACTTTTGTCAAAGTATTCTCTGAGAAATATAACTATTTATGTACCATTTATTTTACGCATTGCAGGTATTCTAGCTTTAATGTACACAGGAGGGTATACATAGATATGTGTAAATACTGTGCCATTTTACAGAAGAGGTTTGAGCATCTGAGGATTTCTGTATCTGTGAGAGGTCCTGAATCCAGACCTTCTTGGAGACCAACAGACACAGAGCTGTATTTCTTTTATAATACAGGTGATCCTCGACTGTCATGCAGTGATGTTTTTAAGGTCATCATATATTGAGAGTAATAAAATTAAAAAATACATTTGATACAGTTAACCTACTGAACACCATACTTTAGTCTAGCCTACTTTCAGTGGGCTCAGAACAATTATGTTAGGCTTCAGTTGGCAGACTCATCAGACTCAAAGTTTGTTTTATATTAAAATCTTGAATGAATCACAGAACCTTTTTTTTTAATTTTGGTATGGGATTTCACTATGCAGCTCAGTAGTTGTGATCCTTCTTTCTCAGCCTCCCCAGCACTGGGATTACAGCTGTGTACCACCACACCCAGTTTTAGTGGCCGGTTCAGCTTGCCAGGGGTTCCAGGGCCAGCAAGGCATATAGAACACCCAAGTCCTTGTGCTTTTGAGGCAGGCTGTTAGACTGCCAAGCTGTCTTCCCAGTCCTCTCATGTAATTATTGAATTGCACTGAAAGTGAAAAACAAAATGGACATATGAGTACATGAGACATAGGTGGATGTTCTGTATCTATGGTGGGATGTGATATACAAAAAAATGCTTGTCAACACAGTGAACTGCAGGGTGTTGATTTTTGCCTTCACGGTATTATGCCTCCTTGGGATAACTCTGTATCATTAGCCTCTGAAGAAATAAGAAAATCAGAATATGATGTATGGTTTCTTCTGAAAACAACTGTCTTAAAGTTAAAAAGTTAAAAGTCAAACTTCCGTTAAGTGAGGAACTGTCTGTGTATGCATTTATATAAAAACTTCCCTTTGAGTACTGCTGTGGATACATTGTATATATTTTGGTATGTTGTGTTTTATTTACATTTGTCTTTCTCAAGCTATTTTCTAACTTCTATGACCATTGGACTGTTTAAGAATGTTTTAATTCCACATATGTAAGATTTTTAGCTTTCCATCTTGAATTTTAGATTGATTTCATCATTAGCAGAGAAGATTCTTTGTTTCTTACTGAGTTGGCAAGTTTTGTTTTATGTATCCTAATATGTGGTCTATACTGGAGAACTTTTCATATGCCTGCACTTGAAAAGAATGAATCCACTATTGTTGGGTAGTATCTTATATGTGTTTTGATATTTCCAGTTGATTTATAGTGTTACTAAAGTTCTCTATGTATTTTACTGTTTTTTCTGCTAGATGTTCTTCCTTTATTGAAACTGGCATATAATGGTCTGTGTTATTATAGTGCTATATATTTTTTCCCATCAGTTCTGCTATTGTATGATTCATATATTTTCAAAGCATAGTGTTTGGATATATGTATGTTTATAATTGTTACATTGTGAAAGAATTGACCCTTTTATTTATAACGATCCTTTTTTTTTCTGTAACAGTTTTTGAATTAAAGATTGTTTTGTATGTTAGTATTACAATCCAGATCACTTTTATTAGTTTCTTGTAATATCTTTTTAGGTCCTTTTACTTTTTTTTGTCCTTTTATTTTTAACCCGTATGTATTTTTGGAGGTAAAGTGACTCTCTTATACAAGTATAATATAGTTGTATGTTTCTTTTTCATTCATTCCAGTTTGTTTCAGTTGGCACATTTAATTCCATTAATATTTGCACTGATTGCTTATAGGCAAGGACTATATAATTTTTTCTTTATGTATTGTATGGCATGTAAAATCTGTTTGATTCTTCCAATATGGTTTTTTGCTTTTATTTTTGTACTGTTAATCTTTTTAATTCCTTTCTTACATTTATTTTTTTTTTTATTCTTGAGATCAAACCCAGGGCTTCGTGCATGCAGGACCACTCTGCTCTTGAGCTGTATACCCCTAGCCTTTTCACTTCTTTTTCTATATGTCATTTTAGTGGCTACCTTAGAGATTATAATTAATTTTGATAATTTCAGACAATCTAGTTTGAATTGACAACTAACTTTAAGTGGTCCATTAAGCTCTACTCTTACACAGCTCCTTTTCCCCCCTTTATGCTCTTTTCAGAAATTACTACTTTATATGTTGTATACTCATTAACTTAGATTTATAGTAATTTTTATATATTTCTAAGTTTTGCAGTTCTTGACTTTAGCTCCTCCCATTTCTAAGCTTTGCAGTTCTTGACTTAGTGATTGATCAGTTTTTCAGTATTTCAAGTAGAACCCAGGACCTTCTGAGCTATGTCCCTAGCACAACTTTTTTTGGGAGGGGGGCCCTAGGGATTAAACTCAGGCTCTTGCACTTGCCAGGCAAGTACTTAAATCTCACAGTGTTTTCGCATTAACGTCTCTTTGACATATTAAAAATAGAGGAAAGTGCCTGCCTATAATAGAGGATATAGGGACAGCAAGTGCCCTTCTCCTTAAGTGACATCCATTTTTGCTGTCTGAACTTCACTGGAGGATGCTTACCTCCTCTACAGTGGAACTTACACTTTAGGAGCAAAATGGTAGAGGGACAGGTGGATCACTAATATTCTTGGGTTGTACTTTCTTAGTTAAAGCCTCTCTAAAGGGGAGGAAAGCAAACCTGAGCCCCGTTGGCAGTATTTGCCTAGAGTAGCACTGTGGGGAAAGAAAAATAAAGGCTGTCCCAACTGACATAAAACTGGATGTAGAGTTTCAGTTACATGGGACATGCCTGGAGGTGGGAGATGATCATGTTTCTGGTGCCACAGATTAATTCTTACTGAATATTGGTACATTTTCTTGAATAAATATTTTTCTTTTTGCAGTATGCTGTTAGGTATATTTTCAGGAATTTTAAAATTTTCACAGTATGCTCTTAGTCATATTTCCAGGAATTTTAAAATTTTCACCATGTTTCATGATTAATTCCCTGAGAAAAATGATTGCTGAGCTTTTCACACAGCTAACCTAGAATTCTTGCCTACCTAGTGCTTGGTTTTTAATTGCTTATTTGTGCTTTTAGGAGACGAAGTAGTTATAAAGTTGTGTTTTGACTTTTTGTCTTGATTAAAGATTTTAGGAATTTCCTATTTTCAGATTTTATCAGTAAGTATACGATAAACAGTATGGCTTTTTTTACATAGAGATCATCATATGAATATGATTCTTTATGAAATAATCTATGTCAACTCAGAGGAAGCATTGTATATTTTTAATGTGAGTGGACAAAAGTTATAGGCAATCAAAATGAAATTGTCTTTACTAATTTTTATTTTAACATTTTCAGTTTGAAAAAATTTTAAATTGTATTGATTTTTAATTTTTTTTCCTGTTTTTTTTTTTTTTAATACAGATTTGAAACCAAAATTGATTCATTTCATGTTACTGGTTTACCAGTTAATTCTAAAAAACCCCACCTTCTGACTTCATTGGATGATGTGTCACTCTTCCAAATTATATTTGAGATAAACCCATTAGATGAAACTGTTGCCCAGAGGTGTATCCTGGAAGCTGAACCATTAGAAATAATATATGATGCAGTAAGCATTTTCTATATTACCAAGTTTTAATATTGTTCACTTAGAGTTTGTACTTCATGTTAATGATGTTTATTTTGACAGAGGACGGTGAATAGTATAGTGGAATTCTTCAGACCTCCTAAAGAAGTACATCTAGCACAGCTTACTTCAGCAACTTTGACAAAACTTGAAGAATTTCGAGATAAGACAGCAACAGGTAAATTGATATTGGCAAATTAAATCTGAACCTTATATTAAATCTTGTATATGAAAATGATTTTTGTGAAGTTTATTTCTAGACTGGAGATAATTTTAGGAAAATAATGTGGTTAAGTATTTATTTGAAGGCAGATGTAACAATAATTGCATTTTATGCACAGGAACTTTATACTTAATAACCACTGCAAAATTTTGTACAGAATTTTTGGGCATTTCAGACAGTAACAAGTTTGTCCTTTTCCATTATAAAAAATTCCAAAGTTTGATATATTGTCCTCAAAAAATAAAAGTCATATTCTTTTTTAAGGTTGAGTGTTATTTCTTCCTTAAGTACTTGGTAGAGCTTAATAGTAAAACCATTTGGATCCTTAGATTCTATGTAGGAAAGTTTACAGATTCTTTTGTTTTGTTTTGTAATTTGTTTTGGGACTTATAGTCTTATTTCGTATATGGTGTTTTTAAAAGGTGTTCCACAGATGTTGAAAAACCAGTTTATTTTTTTTATTTTTATTTTTTGGTGGAACTGGGAATTGAACTCAAGCCCTTGTGCGTACCAGGCAAGTGCTTATTCCACTGAGCCATCTCCCCAACCCCTTGAAAAACCAGTTTAAAAACACATGTATTTTTTAGGGTGGGTTTGTTAATCATGTATAGTAATTCAATTGTGTCTTTCCCTGTTTCTTTCTTCCTTTGGTTACTTGTTCTAGCAATTAGAGAAGTGAAAAATATCTGAGGATGGATGTACATTTTTCTGTTTCTTAGATCTGCCATTTTTCTTAGTAAATTTGATACTTGCATGCATGTTACAGGCTTTATTGCTATCTTTGATTTGTGTTTACTTTCTTTAGGCTTATGTTTCACATTTACTTATGTGCTTTTAAGTTTGGCTTGCTTTGTCTGGCATGGTAACACGCATTTATAATCCTGGCACTCGTGGGAGGCTGAGATAGGAGGATTGCCATGATTTAGAGGCCAGCCTGGTCTATATATCAAGACCCTGTCTCAAAGCAAAAACATAACAAAACAAAACAAGCTGTTTCCTGGCTTGCTTCTTTTGAACAAATCCTATCCTTTCTTTTCCTTTCCTTTCCTTTCCTTTCCTTTCCTTTCCTTTCCTGTAATCTATCACTTTCAAATGGTAGAGTGTTGTTTCAGTATTCTTTCTTTAATTCTCAAATTTTTTTGTCAAAATATAAATTTAATAAAAATTTTACATTGTTAGTCTTTATAAGGATTCTAGTACTACTCTTGAACTCTATTCTCCATCTACTCCTGAGTTAAATGCTATTGTTTCTTTTTCTTTTTAACTTTACTGGACTTTTTTATTGGGTGGGCATAGTCTGTTAGCTTAGAATTATATCTTTCATTGATTTTTACTTTTTCTTCAACTTCATACCTTTTGTCTGAGATTATTCTCTTTTGTTGGAAGTTCCATTTTTTTCCTTGCAAAAGTTTTCCGGTGGTGACATTTTTGGTGTAAAAGATTTTTCCCTCAGTTTTAAAGTATATTTTCTTTTTTTCTGTATTTAGGGCAGGGTCTACAGGGTGTTCAGGGTCTCACTATATAGATCGGATTTGTAGTGCTCCTCCTGTTTTCAGCCTCCCAAGGGCTGGGATTATAGGTACGTGTCACCATGCCCAGTCTCAATTGCTGTCTCCACGTGCCCCAGGAGTGGGGCTGGCACAGCACACTGGGGATT